CTGAGAGGTTTGGAAATTCCCACCTTGAAAATGTATATAAGGACCATGCCTCCTGTTGTTAAGGGCAGCCAAAGCGGGATTTGTAGCGTCCAAGGGTGACACAGACTTTTTACTCTGAAGGGGACCCACGCCGTACAGGGACTGAGGCCGGAATTAAACCTCCCGCATCGCCGGGTAAAAGTATTACGTCACGTGATGCGGGCCGGCCCCGCCTACTGCCCAAAAACAGCAAAACCAAGGGATGGAACTGGCGCCTATCACGCTTCCGGTCACGCGGTGGTCAGTGACTCCGGAACCGGAAGCTTACTCCGGAAGTGGCTCTCGGTGAGGAAGAAGAAGCGCACTCAGCAGGGGTTTGCAGTGAAGGCGTTTGGGAGTCGGGCTGTGTAAATCAACGAGCGTGGCTGCGGAAGTGCCAAGCTTTGCAGGGCTCCGGCCGCCTGAACTCCCGTACCCTAAGGCGGACACTCTACATCTTCCGCCGGTGGTGCGCGCCTCAGGTTTGTTTTTCGTCCCTGGGACAGATTGCTCTTGGGCTAAATCATCAAATAGAAATGTTTATTTGAATTAAAACTTTTTTTAAGGAGGGCGCCGCTCAAAGTGGCCTGTGCGGGGATCAAACCCACAACCTTGTTCAGAGCACTTGCTCTAACCAACTGAGCCACCTGGCCGCCCTGAATTGCAAACTTAAATCCAACTCAGCCTATTTTGCAAAATATGTGGCAGACGTCTCCTATAAATTTTAAGTTATAGCTGCAGCCCTGAGGATTTTTATGGAAAATACATTTAAAACACATTAGGCCAGAAATGTCCTTTGCAATTCCAACTTCCAGAAAATTTGGTTGCCAACCTAATGTGCTAGGTGGTAATAGTCAATTACTTTCAGAGATACTTGGATGAAAGGTTCAAGACCACGTTGTTAGAGGGATATCTGATAAAGCTCAGCTCCCCATATATTGAATGTTATTATTGGCCACTAAAGACATGGTGGCATTATGAGCTGCTGTGCCTACAGGACACATTAGTCTCATGAACACTGACTATATTTTA